CTGTCTCCATCCTCAGGTGGATGGGGCAGGATAGACGTACTCACTGGTCCAGTGATTGAGACTAGCTCTTCCTAACGGACCCAACTGAGTAGGTCTATCCTGCCCCACCCACCTGAGGACGGAGACAGATCCAGTCACCGAAACATTGTGGTTTTGTCTTATATATACCAGACGATGGATAGCGTCCAAAATAAGCCTCATAGTTCTATACAGCATACACCATCGTCAGAATCCTTTCGTCTATTGCTTATATGACTGTTCAATAACCTTATACCTGTGCCGATATGTTTTGTGACATAGTTTTAAACAGGCTTAAGTACAAATTCCAAAAGCCTACTGGTGACATGACACAATTCGGGACCTCTGAGAGACAATTATTTGAGGGCAGTTAATTCCCAGAGACTCCCAGAACCAGTATATGCTCAACTCTGGCATACACAGTGGCACATTGAGGCAAACCACCGCTGCATGTTATTATTGGGGCGGACTTACCCGCCCGGTTCGATTGGTCTATCATGGGCTGCACGATACGGCGTCGAGCGTTGATGAACCTTGGGAACAGAAGAGAAAGAAGAAAAGAGGGTTAGGAAGACCCAGAAAACAGCTAGAAATCTAACTCACCGCTCGCACCTGCTCGATTTGATTGGTCTATTAGAGGCTGCACAATCCGCCGCCTCGCGTTGATGAACCTGCGACAAATAAGACGAGAAAAAGAAAGGGATGTGAAAAAAAGAAAAGAAAAATTAATACTACTATGAAGATGATGAGAGTTATGGATCAGGATGCCATCTTGTGTCACGCCAAACGACGGTCCTCTGCAATCGGCTTTCTTGTTGCTAAACATTTAAAGAAGAAGACAACACTTTTTCACAAAACTTTCATAATTATTGATCTGGGTAGCCAGGAGTTTCTACATTCTCGTTACACATACTTTATAAGGTACTAATAGCATTAACTGTCTGCAAAAGTATGACGTAAATACAGGGTGTCCGGATGAAAGGTATCCAAAATAAAATAATTATATCTCAGAAAGAATTTATTAGACACATTTATGGGTTATACCACTACAAAGGGAAACTATCAAAGTTTTTTTCTGCATATATAACTTTCTCAATAAATTTAAATGTGGGCTCCCTTGGTGTCACGACAAACATCCAGGCCTGAAGCATGTCTGATGTTACCGTAGCTACAGCGTCCCTTATGTGGGCTTTCAGATGTTTAAGGTCGGTGATCTTAACTTGGTAGACAATGTTCTTCAAATAACCCCACAAGAAAAAATCCACTGGGGTTAAATCTGGCGACCTAGGAGGCCAAGCAATTGGTTCATCTCTGCCGATCCATCTCCTAGCCATATCTCTGTCCAGATGATTCCCATTATGGTGGCAGAAATATGGCGGCGCTTGCGCGTAAGCCCGTCATGAAAAAAAAAAACAGTTTTCCTTTACGATGACATAAACCGGATAGTGTATGATAATTATTTTCCGAGATATAATTTTTTTATTTTGGACATCTTTCATCCGGACACCCTATATTTATGTGTTTATATTCATAAATTCTAAAATCGAGGGCACGCGGTAGCGTAGTTGGTTGCGGCACTACAAGCCGGAAGGTCACGGGTTCAAGTCCTGATGAGGTCATTGGATTTGTTTTTTAATTGACCTAATCCTTCCAACCGCACTATGGCCCTGGGGTCGATTCAGCCTCTAACAGAAATGAGTACCAGGAATATTCTCGGAATGTTCTTGGGGGTAAAGGGCGGCCGGCGCGTAGAGCTGACAACCTTGCTGCCATCTATGAGCCGATTGTCTAGAAAATGTGGGAGCCTCAACATCTCACAACCTTATGGGCCTTCACGGCCTGTTACAGGGATACCTTTACGTTAAGAATTCTTCTTGAGGAGCTAACGGTCAATCAGCAGCCTTTTATGAAACCCGGAAACCCATTACCGTAAACGCAACAGGCTTCCACTTGTCCCTACCCTGAGCCACATCAATCCAATCCATACAATCGAATCATATTTCATGTAGTACAATTTTAATATTGTCCTCAAACATACCCACAGGTCTCCCAAGTACATTTTTTTCTCCCTTCCAGAATTTCTAATTAAAATGTTGAATTAAGTTTTTATCCAGTTGTCAACTCTCTCACGCATGGGGCACTCCCCACCTCTCCGACTCTATCCCATCATATCATGGCATAAACATAAGATGTAACAAGTGAGCATGTTTTTTCAGTATTTCAAGATAAGCTCCACATACATCACAGAACTGTAACGCAATAACAGAGAGAAGAATATCACATTTACCTAATATTTTTATATGATTATACAATATTATATTTAAGCATCCTGTTGCACTCTACACGATAAATGATACAAACTCCGTCCCAAGTGCAAACAATATATTATATGTCTTTGATCTTGTTCTCTTCTACACTACATGTTTCGGCCTCTATCGGCCATCATCAGGTGTATACTCTTACGTTGCTGCCACACTGAACCCAGTCTAAAATTTAACATTTAAAAAACACATTGTTATTTCTTCGTTATTATCAACCTCTACCTCGTTGATATCTGTCTGGTATGTAGATTATTTTGCACACGTCAATTTTGATTTTCCTGTAGTAGCACTATAAAATCTTTAGTTATAATTTTAAAATCCTTTAAAATATCTCTAAATTTAGAGAAAATTAAATTAAAAAATTTAAATTAGTATTTCTCAAAAAGTTCACTCTATAAACCCGAAAGTGAGGTGAGCAGAAGCAAAGCTAACTACAAAACACTACAGACATGAGAGTGCAGTTTTAGTTAAATTTGTTGTATTACAATGATAATTCAGACATTTGTAAATTGTTTAGTGTACTGAAGATTAACTCGTAAGGTAAAAAAAGGTAAAGTTATCTCTGTAACAGGCTGTGGAGGCCCATAGGTTTGTGAGACGGCGAGACTCCCACATTTTCTAGACAATCGGCTCCCAGATGGCGGTAAGATTGTCAGCCTTACACGCCGGCCGCTATTTTCCTCCAGGAAGATTACTGGTACTCATTTCTGTTCGAGGCTGAGTCAATTACAGGGCCATAGTGCGGCTGGGAAGATTAGGTTAATTGAAAAGAAATCAAAATTATTTGGACCTGAACCCGCGACCTTCCGGCTTGTAGCATTGTGTCTCAAGTAAGTACGTTACTGCGTGCCCCCGAAGATAAATTCGCATTCAATACAAATTATTGACGCTTGTTCACGTTGGTCAGAATCAGGAGCTAATATAAATTTTATGGGGGTCCCGTGTTCGAGTCTCAGAGCAACACATCTACAGACAACCGCAGAAAACGCTGGAATAATATCCTAAATGAAACGAGAATGCGTCAGGAATCCATTGAATCATAAAGCAGTTAAACATCCGTGAGGAAAAACTGGAGAATTCCTAAACAGACGAAAATGTATCAAAAATACTGGAATACCATCCTAAAACAGATTTAACATTCACAAATACGTAATTATTCAAGTCAATAAATTATATAAAAGTGGCAAAACCCGTATAAATAACACGGTCGTTGGAAATGTACACAAAACAATGTAAAGTAAAGGTGAACTGAGATGTGAAAGTGGACCTCCAATTGCTCTGCTTCCCTGTCACCTGTCCGGTGCTTCCCCCCACCCGCTGCCAATATGATTCTCTGCTACAGTACATGCACTTGTCACTTCTCGTCATCTTTACACGCCGCCTAACACATTCGGGCACCGGAAATGATTGGGTTTTCAGCCGACTGATCGTTCGATCCCTCGGTTACTCCAATTCGTCTTCATTCCCCATCTGCTCCATTCATACACAGAACAGTAAAGGTTCGGCGACACAGAGCACTACGTACGCGACGCACGCTACCTACGCTACGTTCGCTATACGAACAGAAAAATATCTCCCTTTATTGCCAATGTGACTGGCCACACAGACTTCCGTACGCTACGTAAGCTATGTTCCCTGTGTTAGCTGCGTCGCAGAGTGTACACAGCGTACGTAGCGTACGTAGCGAACATAGCGTAGCGCTCTGTGTGGCCGAACCTTTATACATGCAACATTCTGGCATACTGCAGTACAGACGCAGAAACGCTGAACAAGGAAAACTGTGAATAAAGCAGTCTTCTGGAATTTGGCACCGTGTATATGTGGTGTTAACCGACGTTTCGGAGGAACGTATCGCCTCCATGTCTGCTTTTACCGTTCTCACGGTCTTGTCGCTTGCAGACTTCTTATACTTTTTCTTCTACCCTGAAGATGGAGGCGATACGTTCCTCTGAAACGTCGGTTAACACCACATATACACGGTGCCAAATCCCAGAAGACTGCTTTCTTCATAGTCACCGCCGTGAAAGCCTCAAATCTTACAAGGAAAACTGTCATCACAGGTCTCTGATGAAGCTGAAATGTAGAAGAGGAGAGGCCTGTATGTCCGATTTAAACCGGACTAATATGCGGTGTTGAATCATAATGCAGCAGTATAATTTAATGGAGCCGGTCACAGTGGTCGCGGGGTTTAAGGCATGAACCGTCTTCGTCCTCTCGGACACTGGGGTTGAGGTTTCGAATCCCATTCGAGGAATGTATATCTGTGTGTATTTATTCTGCGTGTAGGTAGCGGCCTTGCGACGGGCTGATCCCCCATCCAATGAATCTTACCGACGGTGTATAGGATTAATAAACTGAAAAAGCGGCCAAGGTCCAAAAGGCTGTAGAGCTGTAGAGAAAAAAAATAATTTAATGGAACTTCGGTGTAATTAGGAAATCAGGTTCATTAAAAATTATTCTAGAGTAGAATAAACAGAGTATAGGACTATTTATTTAAGAAATATTTTCCAATTAAATAAACTGAACAAAGATTTTAAATCAAATAAACGGGGTACAGCACTGTAACTAACACGATGCGTGGTTATGTCGGAAAACAGGTAACTGTAAAACTGGTGTCATGCATATAATTTTGTTCCAGAGAGCTTTGAATGCCAGTTTTATAATGTTTTTCCTCTCCTAAAGGTAACAGAAAGGATTTACAGCCCCCTGTAATCAGTTACACATAATGTTCTTCGGATTCTCCTCGGTGCAGTAAACGTAAGGTAAAGGTAATTCGTCCCTCTGTTTAATTGAGCACCACGTAAAGACGCATCTGATAGTGAAGATTATAGCTCAGAGGATTTCTAAACGTCGGCGCTACATGGAACGAATCGTCAGCTTCACGTCCTGGCCGCTTTAACTCCGGGGAAGGCCGCCTGGTACCCTTGGATAGTACTCTACGAGTAAATTAGCCTCAGAGCGAGTCTGCACGCTATCTAAAGAGAATATTCTCTTTCTTACACCGCGAATCTAACCTGAATTTCTCGGTCACTATGCCGAGAGAGCTATCCCTGTATGTATCTTACATTACTCTTATGAGAAAAATATCTGTCAGTGTACGAGTCATGTGATGATTGGAGTAGACACAACTTCTGAAACATCGTGCAGGTCTATAAAGGTAAAAGGTAAACTTATCCCTGTGCTTAACTAATTAAGCACTATGACATGAAGGGGTATGGGGAAGTGGATGTATAAAGCCACATTTCCTTCAACTCGGCAGTAGTCGGAGGTGAGTGGTCAGCTTCACGCTCCTGCAGCTTTACTCCCGGGGAAAGCACCGCAGGTATCCATTGGATAGGAGGCTGGGTGGG